CGGCGCTGCCCCGGGAAGCGGCGCTGCCCCGGGAAGCGGCGCTGCCCCGGGAAGCGGCGCTGCCCCGGGAAGCGGCGCTGCCCCGGGAAGCGGCGGCGCGGGCGGGAGGCGCCGGCCCCGCTCCCCCCGCGCCGCCGGGGCCGCCCGGGGCCGCTGAGCGCGAACGCCGGGCTCGCAGCGCCCCCGCCAGGCCGCCGCGGGGAGCGCCGCCGGCCCGGCCCGGCCCGGCTGCCCTCGCCGACCCCCGGGGCTGAGGCGGCAGCCCCTGCCATTCTCGTTTTAAATGCTTGAAGCTTGCTTTCCTGCGAAGATCGCTCCTCATGCCGGCTGGGGGGAGCTGGGGACCGGCGGTAGGGCACTCACCAGCCTCCCGCAGCACAGGCGTGTCAGAGGAGGGGCACCCTCCTCCACTTCTGTAATTTGGCAGGGGGCGTTATTCGTACCGGCTCTCCTGGAGGATTTTTTTGAGCAGAGTTAGGTGCACATTTATCCTCAGGCTTCGTGTAGCACGGCACAGGATTGCGCAGCACAGCGGCGTTCTCACAGAAAGCACTGCACTGAAAGGTGTTTTGGAAAGGTCAGCTACCTACCAGCAGTTAAAATGTAACCTCTGTGTATAAAACCTAGGAACCACTGGTTCAGCTGCTAAAGAAGGAGGAAAGGAGGAAAAGCATTTTAATGCTTTTAAAATCTCCTTCCATCCTTCCTTTTTTTTTTTTTTTTTTTTTTTTTTTTCCTGAATCTTATTTTCCTTCCAGACCACATAATATGTCAAACTCTCTTCTCAGCCCAGAGACAGATTGATGCAGCAATTATCTTCTCTTCACAGACCTGGTGAAAGACTGACAGCACCAGCAAAACTATCAAGGAGGTTCTCTGATCTGGGGCTGCAGCTGATGGTATGAGAGGCAGGAAAAACTGACTGATGCAGGCGCCCTGTGCATGGGTCTTTTTGACAATACATACTGAATTATATCATTTTTATGTTTGCATTTTGGAAGGGTCTTGAAAGGCTTTTAAGATATTGCATATGTTACAATTTGGATGTGCTTGGTGAAAGGGCAAGACCCTTCTGATGGGGCGGCAGGAGAAGTGGTGCATTCCCATGGGACTGTGGAGGCTGGCAAGGTTGCAACATTGTGAAACCCTGGTTGTTTCACACTGATTTTGGTTTCACAAAATTAAGTCACCTGTCAGCAAATATAGTAAAGTTTTATCAGACTTTGAAACACAAAAATAAACAACAATTTAAAAAAGAAAAACAATCAGAAGTCCAGGAAACAAAAGACTGGTCTACCTCAGCTCAACCCCACAGAGAAATCTGTGACAAGTCTTTGTGAGGACTTATATGAGATTTGGGTGGGTAGTTAGAAGGAATATTCCTCAGGGTTGATCATTGTCACTGACGCTCCCATTGCCAAGGTGGAATACATACTCAAGGAGTTCCCAGAAAACACCAAATAAGGGGCAGGGTAGTCAACATGTTGGGAAGGTAATTCAAGAGTAAAGAAAGAAGCAGGTCAAGAAGTGGCAGAGCAGAAAATAGAGGAATGTTTTGATTGGTAACAACAAACTCAGTTTGAAAAACTCCTTTATGTGCTTTTTATTAACTGCAGTGATATTATTCAGGAACACGAACACTTAGGGTTGTTTATTTTTTCTACATTCAAGATTTATTTTATTTTTGACACATTAAGGAAGAATTACAACATTTGCTCTGGATAGCTAACTACTGATCAGTGTTTTAAGTCATGCACTCATATTTGATGATTGAAAATAACCTAGACAAGAACACAAACATTTACATCTGACTACTCACATTCATAGGATCAATGAATATCATTCATCTGATATTCACTTGTCTGTCTGAACACCTTCACAAATATCCATCAAGATATTTGTGAAGGTATTCAGGTAGAGCAGGTAACTCAGATTCACACACAGAACGAGTATCCCATGATTATGTCGCAAAGAATAACGTGCAATGAACAAGTGGAAGCTAATATTTCTATGCTTTTTAAAAAATAATAGAACCAGACTCTACAATATTTCTTTAGGGTTTCCACTAGAGCACAAGGTGAATAATTCACTAGAACTCCTCATACACAATGGCAAATGTTTACAGAAACAGGCTAAGGTAAATAAGGTGACCAGGTTCAGGTAAATAGATCTATTTATACTTGTGTGTAAAATGTTGCCATTATTTGACTGTATGTGGTATACATTGGCAGAGTCCAGAAGAAAATAACAATGACTGTGAGAGAAAGTTTGAATGTATCCAATGTGTTACTCGAACTGTTAATCCTAAAACACAGATAGCAACATAACTCAGTGTCTAAAGGAATATTTGGCCATGTAAACTCTGCAGAGAAATAAACTTAGAACTTCAAAAACTGGCATGCATCATGTCAATTCCCACAGCTGTACTAACTCTAATGGAAAGTACTATCTATTAAGTGTTCTGGAGATTGACAATTGACTTTTCCTCATTAAAAAATCAGATGGCCATTATTTAAAGTGCTCTTTCATAGAAGATTTAGAAAAATTAGTTTGGAAGGACCCCTGGGAATCACCTAGTCCTATACCCCACTCAGAGCAGACGTAATTGCAAACTCTGATCAGGTTGCAGACGGGTTTGCCCCATTGACTTCTGAAAATCCACAGGCATGGAGGTTCCCAAGTCTTTCTGGGTGGTCTCTTCCAGTACTGACCTACTCTCACCATGAAGAATTTCTTCCTCTTGTCTGGTCAAAGCAATTGTGACCTTTGTCTCATGTCCTTTTGCTGAGCACTTCTAATAATGGTTTGGCTCTGTCTTCTCCATGGCTTTCCCCACAAGCAGTGAAAGATTGCAGTCTGATTCCCTTTGCCTTTTCATCTCTAAGATAAACAAACCAAATTCTTCTAGCCTCTTCTCATATTTTGTCAGCAGGCAAAAACTTGAAAACATGTTTGTGAGTTATGTAAGTAAAAGTTTTATCACAGAAAAGACAAACAAAAAAAGAAGACTAATGAGACCATTACAATCAGGAATTTATGTGAAATTTAAATGTAGAAATAGAACTGTTTACAAAACAGATCCATCACTTAGAATTTTATATAAACAAAGCAATGTTTTAATTATAAAGGAAGCTTTAAAATATACCAAAAAATGACCCCTCTCTAAATTTACTCACTATGTTTGTAATAATACTCACTGAGACTATACAACAGGGAATGTGAAAGGATCTAGCTGATGAAATATCCATTTTTCTTTGTTATGAATATAAAATTAATTTGGATTTGAGAGTGCATTTGAAACAGAACAGTTATTTTATTTACTGTGACTCTCCTTTCCCATAAAAATTTACAGGCATTAATTTCAGTTCTCTTTTTAATGAAATGGATTTCATCAGAACAAGTTCTGTAACAATTCAGTCTAAAAGTAATCCTATTTTTCTTAGCAACAGAAATAAAATGTATAACAGCCCAGCTTCTTCAACAAACAAGCAAATTCTCCATTCACCAGTCAGCTTCAAACACTTTATATTTGATGTCACAGTCCATGAGAAGATAAATGGGCTTGAACAAATTTTACTTTCTTTGCCTTTTTGTAACAAATATTCTATCCTGAAAGAAAACAAAATTATCCTAAATGAAAACAAAGATTTTGTGACTATTTTACCAGCTGCTGACAGACACCTATTTTCATAAAGCAATGGTTCCCTATAATAATTCAAGGTGGGTTTGTCTTTACAAACATAAAACACTGACCAGCTCTCACTGCTACTAGCTTTGAGCCAGAAGGTAGTGCTGATATGGTTGAATTTTACCTGAACTCAAAACATTTTGCTTCACACTAAATGCTCTTTAAGTGAACTCTTTATTGTTGATAAATATAAGAAATCCTAAATTATTACTAATAGTTGCATTTTACTACTCTATAAGTTGTGGAAATCCCTACAAATACGAGCTGAATATCAGCATGGTGGATAGAAAACTAATAAATATTTACACCCTCACAATTTAAAATCTAGAGCTTCCATGTGATACTGTCTGGAAATCATAATGAAGAAAAAGCTTAAAGCTTTGCTCTCTTGGTAATTTATTTCTGTTTCTTTTTTTCTATTAAGTTCTACTTACTCTTCTTTATCAAGAAGAGATTCTTTGTAAGACACAATTTTAATTTAAAGCATTGGCTGATGCCTAACAAGATTGAACTCACAGTCAGTACAGCCACATGCTTAAACAAATATGTTGTGAAAATTCACAAACATCAAACACCTGGTTTCCAGGAAACCAAAGGGAAGAAAAGGATTTAATAAAATAGGCAGAAATGAATCAATCATTTCTAACTAGCCTGTGCAACTTGTCCTAATTCTTGTGGCACTAGCTGTGATTACCAGCTGTAATTCCTGTGGAAGAGGGACCATATGCCAGGGAAGAGTAGAACCCTTCAACCCTCAAGAAATTATCCTCTCCCTTCCAAAAGGGTCCTCTGGTGTCCTAAGATCTCAAGGTAGTATCCTGGCCCTGGTGGATACCAGAGAAAGACCCCTGCCATTCAGGTCAGACCTGCTGAGCCTTCTGTGTGTGCTCCCAGAGCAGTGTCACCCATTCACCCTACAGAGTTTCATCAAAGCTGCCCTGTGACAGACAGGTCCTAGTTTGTCCCATGTTTGTTTTTACTCTGGCCCTCTTCAGCAACATACACACAAAGGCCCAGATTTAGAAAGCATTTAGGGGAAGATAGAAAATAATGAGATTTTCAAAATTACTCAAAACTCACTCTCTAAAGGAAATATGCTATACAACTGTGCCCTTAAACTTCTTTCTGTTAGGTACATTGCTGATAGTAGAGACTGGCTGTTTCTATTACCCACTGATATGTGCTCAGGTTCCCTTATTCTATGGGCTCTTTCTCCAGCTGCTCCATTCTTCCATCCTTCCTCCATATCTATTATCCACAGCAATTTTCTGCAGTTCTCTCTGCCTCATGGACTGTGTTATTTCACCATCTCCTATTTCTGCAATTCCTCCCCTTTTCCTTTACAACATCCCTTCTGAATAGCTATTTTGTTCACACTTCTCACTTTCAGTTATTTTCTCCTCCTCTTGCTGTTTCCAGATCTAATTCTTTCCCCCTACACTTCCAATAAAAACAGTTAAGTGGGAAAATTTCCTTGTAACATTTCCCTTGTCCATGTGCTTATGTTTTACTTAGGCACCTGCTACCTAGACAAAATATTGAGCTAGAGAGGCTTCACATCTGATTCACCATGGCTATTACTATGTATGGTTTTTGTGAAGGGTGAAAACACTATCCTAGCTTTGCCTTTCTCTCTTAAGTTCAGCTACTGTAGATGTTACAAACACCAGAACTTCCTGAATGGTCCTTCAAACACAAGGTCTTAAAGCA